AGACTTGAGAGTAGTGAAAGCTTGTCTTGCTTTTCCGATTCTTGCTTTGATATCCTCGTCAGTTCCGTCCGCCTGTAGTTGAAACGATGCTTCCCAGGTAGGTAAAAGAGGTTGTTTCTTTCAGGTTCCTCCCATTTATGCTGATCGTTGTCTGTTGTTATTGTTCTTGTCCAGGAATCTTCATCACCTCTGTTTTCTCTATGTTCACCTGAAGTCCCTCCTATCTTTGATGCTTCTTCTGCCAACTTGTTGCTTTTCGCTTGCATATCTTCCAGTTTGTGGGAAATCAGACATATATCATCGGCGAAGTCCAGATCCTCCAAGTTAATAGCCTTGCCTGTGGTTAATTCAGGTAGTCCTTCTGTGTTTATCTGTTCCATCTCAACTCCCTTCCGGATATTTGTTAGGCGATAGGTTGTTGGTTGATTCGTCGCTGGAGTTCCTTATTGTTATTCTTTTCTGGCTATCTAATCCTCAGTAAACAGCGAAGATATCTGTTGATAAAATTCTTCAGCTTATTCAAAATGTTTTCCGCGTCGCGCATACCAAGTCTGTGAACCATATAGAAACACTGACGGACTTGACATTACTGCTGGGTGCCGCAGATCTCCACACCGATCTCTCTGATGGAATGCTGTTTTACTTGGTGATCATGACTGACTTTGAAGTCCCCATCAGTGTCACTTGTGGTTGAAACGATGCTCTCTCGATGAGTAATAGAGGTTACCACCTTCAAATGTTTCTCTCTGATCGTGATTGCTGCATGTTTTTGTTGTTGTTGTTGGTCGGTTGGTATTTTCGTCACTTTTATCTTCTGTAGTGCTGGCTTGAAGTCACGTCTTCAAAACTGCGTGTTCTAATAATATTTTATGCCTACTTCCTGTGTTGCTCGAGGATATCTATGATTGATCTATGAACTGAGATTCAGGTAGATAGACATAGGAGAATAAATGAAACAACAGCGAAGAACTTCTGTAATATACATATAGCTCTCGTTTGTGGAATAAGCTGTGGATGTGAACAGAAGTAGGTGACGAAGTACAATTTCATAAGTAGAATGGTTGTTAGGCAAAATCACTATGAAGTGGTTTATCCATTCTAGTGACAGCAATGATCAGATACTACTATTTTACCTCCTTACCTGCTGAGTGGAAAGCAAGGCTTCAAGCTTGAGTTGGCTGAACTTTTCGGTAGCAAGGAGTTTATTTTACGGGTTGAGGTTGCTAGCCTGACACCCAAACCCCCTCTCCTTACTGGGCTTACTGTTGGCTTGATGAGGTTAAATCGGGCGATTAAGTCAGGGATTGGATCTCAGATCACGTATAACGTAGTCGGGGAGCGTGCTACCAATGAACCACCAAGATCCGATATGTTGTATCTCAAAATGTTGTTGGTTTTCTTATAGTAATTTGACTAACACACACTCAAGATACCGATTGTAGAAACTTCATACATTTATTCCCCTTGATGAATTTGACTAAAGCAAAACAACAGTGGTTTGTGCAGAATAATACAGTACCATCATTTATTTCGTTGGCTTCTCATCAGCTGCCAACAGGCTAAAAAGATTATTATAAGGTTCATGTACAGAAAAGTTTTAACATACTCGCAAATTGTACATGATGTCAGTTGACAGGAGGTTCCGGAATTGGTGAACAGTGCTCAGAAAATTACGCATTTATATAAGTTTTACACAGGCAGTTCAAATTTAAACAAAGTAAATGTATTCATTATAATAAAGGTTTTTGCATTTCCCAATGAATGAAAAACAAAATGATACTGTTTTTAATAATACTTTGATAAAGCTATTAGCGTTAAATAGCGAAATGTCAGTAAAAACAATATCATTTTGTTTTTCATTCATTGGGAAAAACAAAAACCTTTATTATAATGAATATCATATACCCAATGCCCAAAAGAGGAGTTACGCAATAAAGACGGGAGATGCGTAAGATGCAGAGTGACTACAAAATTAGGTGATAATGTACTGGCTTCATTTCAAATCGTAGAGAAAAGAAGCAGGCAAATTAAACTATATAAAAAGAGGATGGGGATAGAGCCAAAGATTGCGTAATCAAATAAAAGAGTGAGAAAAGACATCCAGATACCAGGTGGGCAAGCAAAGACTGATAACTGCTTCTTTTTGAACAAATAAATCACGTCGCACGTAGTTTATGTGATGAAAATAGCGTCAGAAGTGAACTAACTAACCTTCTTAGCACCACTAAATAAACCATTTCCTTCAACCTCAAAGCATCATACTTTATTGTTATTGTATTTCTTATATTTATTATCCTCTCAATTTTTCGTTTTGTTTATTTTATTTTTTCTAAGCTGTATTATGACTGTTAACTCTGTATTTCCCCTCACTATACCATACAAACAGAACATTAGACCCAATAATGTATAACATGCTAAAGTTTCCAAACTGAATCAACAATACAGTTTGAAACAAACTCACTGTTATTATTATTATTATATCTAATAATTATGTCGTAAATGTAGACAAATTCCTCCGATTAATTTTGTTTTAATTTTTAATTTTATATATATTTTGAGTAAATCAGATGCAATATTGTGACAAATACTGAGAATTCCATTCTGTATTATAAGTACTGTTTTTGAAATAAAGCAAATTATTATTATTATCAGGTTTCAGTCATTTGATGGAAATTGCGTCAGCAAACTTGTGGATAATTTCACAGGACTTCGCGATTTCTACCTCATGTGATCCGTATCAAGGAGATGTCTGGTAATGCCAATATTATAGGCGTGGGGTTTTCGGCATATATTCCGAAAATTGGAGGTGTGCTCATCTTTCTATTCTCCCAAAAGTAACTGCTCCCGCAGATACACGCAAATTCGTATACACCGTTGGAGTTAACATGCAACGGGTATCTGTCAACTTTTGACTGCACCAAAGAGAATGTTGTTCGATGCATGGGAACCAACTTAGCTGTAGGATAGGCTGTGACTAGTGAAATAACTCCTTTGCCATTGTATGCATACATTTACTTTGTTTAAACTTGAACTGCCTGTTTAAAAAGCTATATGAGTGTAATTTCTCGAGCACTATGCACTGATTCCGGAACCTCCTGTCAACTGACATCATGTACAATTTGCAAGTATGTTGAAACTTTTCTGTACATGAAGCTAATAATAATTTATTTAGGCTGTTAGCAGATGATGAGAAGACAACGAGATAAATGACTGTACCATATTATTCTGTACAAACCACTGTTGTTCTTGCTTTATTCAAAATAAGGTTTGTATTAATCCATAGTAAACCCGAAGATGAATATAACCGTAGGCAAATGAGTTATTAAGTTGAACGAACAATATATGTATATATATTTCACGAAATGTACTCATTTATTCATAAGGAAAAAGCACAGTTTTTGTCCAGAGAAGGAATATTTCTTTTCGAAGGCTTATTTTTCAAACTGTTTAGTCGAATTTATTAATACATAAATTAATCATTAAGCGGAACTAAAAAATTGTGCAATCAACACAAATATTACTTAATTACTATTCTGTTGGGTGGGCTTCAACAGCACATCCCCACTTTGTCGTATTCTCTCCAGTCCTCTTCGTTTGGCCCCACCGTCTCCCAAAGTCTCTCATCTCCTGGTCACACAGTCGCCTCCATGTCACCCTGAAAACTGCACTAAACTTGTCATCCTTCATTCAGATTCCACATGAGTGGTGATTTGGCGCCTCCTCAGCATGTGTCCAATCCACCTCCATTTTATTTTTTTAATTTTTGATTACAGCTTGATTCCACACCATATTTTTGGTACAAGTATGGAATTTTCAGCATATGATTTCGGTAGCCCGAATTTTGCAGGCCGACGATAGATATCAGGTGTGTGTAGGCAGAGGATCGAACCCCGCAACATGTGCTTGGCCGGCGAGAGTCCTAGCCATTGTGCCACCCACGCACAGTGTCCAATCCATCTCCATTTTCTTCGCTATATTTGTTGGGCAAAAGGTTCTTGATTAGTTCTTTCCCAGAGTCTCTTGCTGCCAACTCTTTCTGACCGGAGAAGGAAGATTCTGATAACGCATATTAAAGAACTCATTAATTTAACATTGGTGATGAAAATCCGAATTTTCAGTGTTAATACTCCAGCGGAATGCAGAATATTTGCCAACTGATTTCAATGTGGTGAAGATCTGTCTTGTCTTTCCAATTCTAGTTTTGAGATCCTGCTTCGTCTTGTGTGCCTGTGATTGAAAGAATGCTGCCTGGTCAGATAAGTGAAGGAAGTGACGTCTTTCGAATTTCCCATGTTAATGCTGACTGGTTAGTGACCTTCAGTGTACAGTCACCAGAAGTTCTGTCTTCTCTGGCTGCATCTTCTTCCAACTTGTTGGTTCTCGTCCGCAATTCTTCGAGTTTGTATAACCTTCTGTCCGTGTGTAAACACCGCCTCAATGATAGATAAGTGTGATCGAACTCACCTCCGTTAATAACTTTAAGGGATAAATTACATGTTAGGCTGAATAATTAGACTCAAGAAGATGTTCAAAAATGGAAGACTTCATCATTCTTTTTCACATCAATCAGAATTGGTAATGTATCCGGCTTCGCCTTTCCTCAGAACACGCCTACAACGTTCAATTCAATCAGCTTCACAGGAGCGAGCAAAAGAGTTGATGCACATAAAGTGGGTGAACTTAGGCGTAATGCCAAAAACAACTGCATAATCGCAATCGTTAGCAAAAGAAATAAATATCTCTTCGCTTAACAAAAACTGGGTTTGTTTTCCTGCATTTTGTCATCAAAATAGTTTTTTTTTCATATTTTCTTTTTTTGTTTACAATTTTGCTAAAATAACACAGTGTAGTGTTATTTGTGATTTTCTTTCGCGGAGAAAGAAAAAAAAATCAAACTACAAAACAAAAACTTTTGAAAATTTATTTTCTCCCGTTCTTTTCTTTTCTTTTCTTTTCTTATTCGCTGTAACACACGCAAGCTGACTTTTCACAACACTTACCATCTATACCCATCAGATTGTATTGACGATTTTCTTGGGATGGTTCAAAACGATTGATGATTGCTGTACACTGTTCCAGGGTTAAACCAGTTCTCTGAAAAATTACAGTAGAAAAAAGCAATTACAAAAAATAATTCTATACAAACAGACTATGACATTGTGTAGTAATAGATACAAGATAAGGGACTTATAATAGGCAGAAGGCAAATTACATGGAAACTGTTTGCTATTTATGTGACAGGGAAAACAGAAAAAGCTCTATTTCGGAACACCTGATTGACTTTTGTCACTCTGTCAACCCTGACCGTGATTTTAAGATCATATATAGAATCCATGCTAACTTCCCGCGTTTTCTTCGTTACAGACTTCTAAAGACAGCTGAGGCCTTGGCAATTCATGACTTTAAGCCAGACCTTTGTGTACAAAAGAAGTATTTACAATCCCTACTTCTCCCTTGGCCGTAGAGGGATAGACATTTATTTATTTATGCATTTTGTTTATTTAGTTATTCTATGTACCTCTCCCTCATTACTACGGTTATTATTATTATTATCCTCATCATTATTATTATTACTATTCTCACTCTGAATCTTTTCCACTTGACCCACTTTTCATTCTAAACCTAAAATTATCAATTTTTTATTTTTTATTTTTACAACATTGAATTCTATCTTATCAAATTTCACACCAGCTCTTTGTTTACAACTCGGGTTGTAGGATGTGGAAAACAGAAAAGTGAGTATTTTAACGGTTCAGGCTTGTGACTGACCCCTATATGAGTGTATGGGTATATCACAGAGAGACAGTTAGTCTAACCTCTCAAACCTAATATTGACTAGTTATATGTTGGGCATTTCCTTTGCGATACCTTAGTAGCTTAAGCTTACCAGTTTTAAATGAATCATATTGAGGATTTTTAAATACTATTAGAGATCCACTGGTCTGGCAGTAAACCCCAAGGTATGATATTGTTTGACTTAATTTAAGATCATTGGTTAAGCCTGGCTGATTATTAAAGCGTCAATAACGGGAGAGGTTTAACACTTCAGTTAACTGGGTGGCAATGAATAAGTATGAGACATCCTAACATAAATGCGTTACCTTCCTTGAATTTATTTTGTTCAGTAAAAGTAATTAGGTTAACCAAAACTTACACCTTGTTCACTTTCGAAAAAATTCTTTAAATCTTCAGCGCTTAAATGTTCTGCTCCACTGGAATATCTGAAAATTAAACAAACAAAATACATACGAATAATAAGAGAAAATGCATTAAAGGTAAAGAAAGTGTTTGTTTTTTTAATTGCAGCGACAAGTAGAAATTAACTATTTTAGAGGGGAGAAGCGACAACATTTAATCACTTTCTGTCAGTTTGCTGTTTGCAGTACCTGTGACTTAATTGTGGAGTTTTGCGTAATCCAGTTGAAACATTGACACGATTATCTTGAAGATAACCAAATATAAAACACAAATTCAACGGAGAAAATTTTCTTTATCGACGAAATCATCTTCAGAGGTTGTACAGTCATATTTATATTTACCAAAAATGTATTGTGGTCTATTATTGAGTAATAGGGGCATGGTGATATAAATGATATAATTACTCGGAAGTGGCTTTAGATATAAAACATAAAAGTTGTAGATTACGTGGTACTCAACGGCACAAAGATAGAAACTTGATAAGGTTAAAACTGCTATTGACTGAGAATAAGGGTAGTTGAGTGTCAATTTAACAAGCATGAAGAGGGTGTGAAAATGTACAAAAGGAACATATGAAAGTGATAATACTGAATTAATTATTAAAGCAAAAGCAAACTAAAAGTTACATTAGAAAATATAAAAAGAAAAGAAAAAATCAAAATTTTTTTACAGGGAACGACTGGTGAGGAGGTTCAGACCAAAGTAGAATTAGAGACTGGATAAACTTTTTCTGTATGCAGAGTTTGGCATTGTATTGACGAATTGCTAGTGCCTCCGTTATACACAAAAGCCGAAACATGATGCCCTTTGCACCATTTGGCCTCACCTTGTAGATGACCCTGAAAGACGACTCTGGTGGAGCTGCGTTGCCTGAGTTCACCAAACGCTCGGGAGTTGAGCTAGTAATTGTCTTGTAAGCGAAAATCAACGCGGTTGCCATTAGGATAGTAAAAGTGGTTGTAAGCATAGTTCCGGTTTCTCTATGTGAATGGCTAGATCTTCAGCAATGCTCAGAGGGTACGCAAACGTATTGCTTTTTTTGTCGGATTCTTCACTTTGTAGATTACTAATGAAAACTATATTATGGAGAACTGAAATTATAAAAAATAATAATTCAGCAAAGAATATCCTTTTCGGTCATTTCCTCTTCTGCCTCTACTTTTATATATATATATATATATGTTCATACATAGAGAATATTCTAGAAGATAGAGAAACAGTTAGCGGAAACATTAAGAAGACTGAAACAACAAGGCTTTATCTCACATAGTCAGTATACATCACTGAAACCCACTGGAACGTCTATAACAAGATTAAATGGCTCGCCTAAAGTGCACGAAAAAATGGTGTACCGCTTCGATCAGTATTAGTTATGTTAAATTCACCATACCATCCCGTAGCCAAATGCTTAGTCGAACTCTTACAGCCTCCACATAGCGAATTGGTGTAACACAGTGTAAAGAATACTTTGGATTTTTTGAAAGGATGAGAAGAACTCATAAGACGAAACATCGACATAGGCATTCCTATATCTTTTATAAAATAGCTTTTCTTGAAATGCAAAATGAATGTCCACTTTTTATTTAATAGGGAACTATAAAGACCAATCGGTGGTGTGACAATGGGGTCACGACTAGGACATATTCTAGCCTACATTTTCTCTGCGAAACTAGAAAATGGGACTTTGAAAGGCATTACTGATGCACTTAAATTCTATTATCGGTACGTGAATGATACATTTTTGATCATGAAAAGTGAGGATGAAGCAAAGAACATCCTAGATAAATTCAACGATGTTCATCCTGCAATACATTTTACTATTGAGAAAGAAAAAGACTCTAGTATTTCATTTCTAGACGTCCTTATGGCGAGAAAAGAGGATGGCACAATAAGGAGAAGTATGTATAGAAAACCTACATCAACCAACTGGTCAGTATACTCACTTTTTCAGCTTCGTGTCCTTGAAATCCAAACGCAATCTGATAATGTGCTTGGTGTACAGATCAAAAGCGATCTGCTCGAATGAATGTCTTGATGAGGAACTCAATAATATTAAGCGGTCGCTGAGTGAAAACGGTTATCCAGAAAGGTTACTGACAATAATATGAATCTAAAATCAAGCCAGGCCAAGGTACAAACAGTTCCTAAAAAGGCTTTGTTCTTACAAATTCAAATCCTTGGAGTTAACAGCGAGATACTAACACAACGCCTTAGGAATACGGTGGTAAAAAGAGCATTTCCTGCTGCTGAATTACTCAAGATTGATGTTAACAAGACGGCTTTCAAAGTCATCTGCCACATACCAACAAATTTTAACTTCGCCATAAGAACTCGTTTACTAAATATTTCTGAGGCTGGCTGTTGAGATCCACATTAAGAAGCCTAATTTATGTGTCCAAAACAAGCTAGTTCAGACATTATCCTCCCCCGATTGGCCATCTACGTTGGAATGATCCTCAATTTTTTGTAGAAATTTCACTTCAGAGCATCAGGCTAACTTTTAGGAGTCAATTTATGCTCCGAAATCATTTTCAAACAATAAATTTAGATACAGATTTTTTAGCTTAAAAAAATGGACTCTTTCAATAAACGCAGCAGGTAAAATAAAAGCCTTACGATGTCTCCATTAAAGTGTAAATATAACATGTTCTATATTTTGTGTTAAAAGAATTTCCAAATATTTTTCAATATTACACCTGTTTTAAACATATTTTCGGTGAATTCCTTTCTAAAAATACTTCGAATAGTGGAGACAGTTTTAGTCGTTGATGTTTCTCCGAGACAGTTGGATTCCATTCAAATATTTTCCTTACTTAATTAAATATATTACAAGAAATATAATTAGTGACGTGCATCGGTGGCACCGTGGCAGAATGCTCGTCGACCATGCATGTCGTCCGGGGTTCGATCCCCCGCCACGGACGCACTCCTTCGCCTCGTTAAGCCAGTAGTAATATGACTGATAAAGGGGGAAGATTAGGCATGAGGCTAGCAATCCCATCCTGTAAAAATAATCACCACTGCTACCGGAACTTCAAGCCTCCAGTTTGAAGCCCTGTGTTGCATTGGGAACGTAAAGGAATTAAAAACATAATTCGTGACACAGTGTTTCATAACACATTTGTTTTCTCGTCCCAACTTAATGTAATACGGTTATGTTAGCGGTTAGAGTTTAAAAGGTGATATTTTGTGGATCATGTGTTGAAGATATTTTGTCGTGAACTCATTTCATACTGCGACTTCTTTTCCTGCTTCATTCAATTGATCCGATTTTCCAATCATCTGTTTCAACAGGGTTTCCGCAGATTCTCCAGTAGGAATCATCGTTTTATATAACCATTCTGTATTCGCCTGTGAGTGCACTATCTAACAGGTAATGCCTTAAGCCTTTTACAAGTTATTAGTGTCCTGCCTGTTTTATTATTCTAAGTACTTTGTTTTGAATTATTTAATACCCAAACAATTTAAACACTACACGATTTCATCATGAGCTGAGATCAATTAGAAAACCATTGAAAGTAGTCAAGGAGTATTGAGCAGCTGTTCCATCATACTAATTTAGGACTCTTCGTGAGTGCACATCCATCAACAGAGTTTGAACTCAGGACCGTTCAATAAGCAGGCGAGCTCGTAGACCATTCACAACCACTGGAACCCAATCCAATGGCCAATGCATGAATTCAAATTTCACTCACTTCACAATGTGGCGTGACCACTAACCAATGTCACTGGTGGCTAGTATTTGTCCTCACAACCCATCTGCTGTACCCCCCTGGTCACAGTTTTTCACGAGAATCTAGGTAACAACCTACCTGAATAAGGTCAGTCACTAGTGTTGGTTTGCAGGTATTTGTTGGGTACAGGATTTCATTATGAGCTGAGATCAATTGGAGAACCATTGAGAAACCACCATGGAGTACTGAACAGCTGTTTCATCCCAATATTTTGGGACTATTCATCGATTTCAATTGCCGGGGTTCGTAAACAGGACATACTGACTGCATCGGGTCCCAGTGGCTTAATGGTCTGCGAACTCGCGTTTTAATTGAAAGGTCAATGGTTCGAATTGCGGTGGGTGCGTACTGACGAAGAATCTTAAACTAGTGGGATGAAATATCTGTACTGTACTCTCTAGCAGTTTTTCAATGGTTCTCTAATCGATGTCATCTTATGGGGAACACATATATATATATGTACCTATACGTAGATGTACATAATTTACAGTGAAAGCCTAAATGAGGATTTAATCGAAAATCAAATATTTTTTTCGTTCAGTCCTTTTGTCTTGTGAAAGAGTTTCACCCTTGCAGAAATGATAACATCTCAAAATTCCGGCAGCTGAAAATAACTTATTCATATAACTGTAGCAATGTTCTGTTTTGTCTAGAAGAATCAGCGCTGAAATAGGTCTAGATAATCTCCTTATGGTGGATATTTTGAAGTAACCTGAGTCTTAAAGATAAACGGTTATTTGTGAGTGTCTGAGTGAGTTAGCGGTGGGAAGTTTATCAAGCACGCATGTGGTTCAGGGATCGATCCTGGGCCGACACAGCGCTTTACCTGGCTAAGCCGGTAAAGGGGTAAGGTTGCGCACGAGTCTAGCAAACCCACCGCGTAAAAATTAAAAACACCGCAGCTACTGAAACTTCAAAAAGCTCTAGCTTGTATCTTTATGTTCCACTGGGAACGTAAAAGAATGGGGAAAAATGTTTCAAAAAAACAATCTGTGAAGAAAGTTTCGGGAAAATTCATGATCATCATTGTCTCAAATGAAGTTTTTTCACGTCACAGTGAAATAAAAGGAAAAAGAGAATAAAATCAGATGTGAAGGAATAAAAATGGAAGCATTTGCAACTAATACTTTTACAAGAACTTCAATATGTTTCTATGTCACTCCGATGAAATTCAGATGACGTTCTCAATGGTGCTTGGTGATTGATTATCAATATTTCACAGGAGTAAACTCATGATGAGATGAATTAATATCAACCTTTAAAAAATAAACCATGGAAATTGTTTAATCTTCTCAAATACAATCTGACTGACTAACTTATGCTATCAAGTGTGACGATGAAACGTTCTCTATCACACATGTATCATTGCTTAAGGTATATATGTCATGTATTTGGTGGTGGCCTACAGTGAAATCCGACATCATCAGCCGTATCCACCTATATCCCAATGAAAGATGATATCCTTATTGGGACTAGAATACGGCATACCTTTTTTCAAAAATAATTTCCCTTATGATTCAATTTAGACTTTCCCGTCGATTGATTAGACTGAAGTGCTCAGCCTCAGGTGAACATGTCAGCAGATGCGTTGACTATGCCTGATTATTTAACATGAAGTAAATTTGTAGATGGTGACAAGCAGTGAAATTCAGGTTGCGCACTTCGTCCTATTCGGGCTTTTCAGCTGTCGTGGCCCAAGTGGTCTAGTGGATAATGCTTTAGCGTTTGAAACTATGGGTATTGGTTTCGAATCTCAGTGGTAACACCATCACTCACTTACTGGAGAATGAGGATACATTCGGATGATGAGTCCCAAATAGGATGAAATGCGCATCTTGAATCCCACTGCTGCTGTTTCTCTATGTCACTTGAAAATTAAATAATGCCTACTAATTCTATAATATGAAAAAGCAAATTTTCTTGCGGTCAGTGTTTATAAACGCCTGATACCTCAAAAAGCTAAAAGTTTGTGGTATTCTTCGTCCTTATAACACAGGCACAGTGGCACTGATGTATACACAAAAATGTATATGTTCTGCTGCAGATAGTTGTAATACATTTTATACTTCGAGATAATAAGAAAAGAAATTGTTAGATTCTGAAAAACATACAGTCTTCACAACTGGTTAAGTTTTTACGCATTCGATTGCTAGGCGAAACTGTGGCAGCTTCCATAAAAACACTTTAAAACCAGTGTCTTTGCGTTCAGAAAAAGCTTGTCTAGTTCTTCTATCTCCCTCCTACAGCCTTCAACACTAACCTAGAATGATTATCTCTCCCGGATATATTGGATAACTGTTAATATCATTTCTATTTGTACTGGTAACTTTATTATCAATATCCTACTGTGCTACAGGTGTATATTTTAATCATTTTTATCATTATTATATTATCTAATTGTTATTCGACAATACCTTTTTCCACCTCTTCCCCGACTAGTATACACATTCTATTTATACATTCATGAGTACCTAACTTAGATTCTCTTGGTCCAAACTGCTTCAAATGCCATTGACTAATATTTTATTATTTGTCAGGTGTTGGTTTGCAGGGTTTTGATTGGTTATAGGGTCGATCACCACTTGACATCAGTTAGAGAACCATCTGAAAACCTGGAAGAAGTTGAAATTCATGGGCCGTTGCGTTGGGTCCCATTGCATGAATGGTATACGAGCTAGCTCACCTAGTAACCAGAAGACTTTGAGTTCGAACCCTGGTGGTTGGTGCGTACTGTCACAGAGTCCCAAACTCGTGGAATAAAACACCTGGCCTGTCCAGTACTCCCTTTTGGTTTCTCAATGGTCCTCTGGGTGGTGTCACCTCGTGATCAATCTTTATTTGATTGTAAGACCTCAAAAGAAAAAGAAATTACTTAAAAATCGTGTTCTATACAGGCGTTTTGACACATCATGCAAAATGTATGTTCACCATTCATAATTAGTACTGACTTAATTTAGCGGTCGTTTAAAATTTGAAATTTGGCTTAAGCAAGAAGATCGTGTGAGCAAGAGATGACAGACTATGAGAGGACAGAAAAAAGCGGAACACAGTGGAGAGGTGCTGTTGAAGCCCTACACTCTAATAATAATACCATCATCATCAACATAAAGAGTTTAGTAGAGTTCTAGTTCATCTTCTAAGACACCATTACAATTGCCAACTTTAACATTGAGCATTCTTACTCAACAATACCTCATACAAATAAGAACCATTCAAAGAATAAAGCAAAAGTTAAAAAGAAAATATATATATTGTTTACACTGAACACTATTCAGAAGAGATATTTATACTTACCTAACAAGAATGTAATAAATTTCTTGTCTTGTAGCAACTTTCTTAAAAAAATTTACAAAATCATCTTTTGTTATCCGACCTTTATGATCTTTCAGTTTACTTTCTAATTCCTAGAAATAGAAATAAAGTTAGAGAAAAAATTATTTACATGTTTATACATAAATGTATACAAATCGGTAATAACTTGTTAAACTGGATGAGCTTTCTTCCTACTCAACAACTTAACCTTTTATGAACTGACTGAGTTTTAACATAGATATCGTCACAGCAGCCCAACAGTTCAAGTCGTCACATTCCATATAACACACAAAGGTGGAGTAAACAGTGATTCGAAAGAGTACTAATGAGAAGAAATGCAGGGGAAGGGGGAGAAAGAATAGTGCCACAGAAAGATGCGAGGGTTTCATGAATTTAAGAGATTACAGACGGTGAATTCATTAATGCCATCAGAAAGATAATTATAAGCCATATCTCATTTATTTTGATTTAATTATTATTGTTATTAACAGAAAAAGTTCTTCAAGTCTTCTCAGGTTTGCTGAAGCTATAGCAATAAAACGATTGAAGCCTGACTTATGTGTCCAGGAAGAATCCGTTGTAGGACTTCAATTACCCTGGTGACTCACCTCTTAGTAACTCTCGGTTGTCCAATTTTGTTAATTCATCTTTTCACTCCCCCTACCTGTCTTTTTCGCTTGACTCTCTTAAGAGATAATTTTTCCTGATATTCTGAGTTCTGCTCACTGCATTACATCATCAACTTCTCATCTGACCTCATGTGCACCAAAATTTTAAAATTTTGATCTTCTCTTATCTAATTACGCAACTATTACTGATATTCTTTTGTTACCACCCCAACAACACAACTGTTAATCAATTTTTTTTCAAGCAACTTCTCTCTAACAAGATATATATATATTAAAAGTCAATCTGAACGAAGAATATTCTTTTCAATAATTTCTCTTCAGGTTCTTACAATTATAAAATATAATATTTGTTGTCGTTACAATAAGGCCAGTTATGCGGCAGATACATTTTTTAACGTAGAATAACAGATTAGTTATGGGGTGTCAAAATAAATAGTCGTATTTGTGTGACAAACGTGCTAGGCTGAATTCGATTACAAAATAATGTAAAACGGGAGACAATGGTGATTAATCATAATAGATTTGTAGAGTGGGGGTAGGAAAATTGACAAGTCAGTTCAAGGTTATAAAAGGTGTCAGGTGAGTGGCTAGTACAAAGTGGTCTGTGTTAAACAGGAGATAGTAAGACTGCAATGGGAGGTTCATAATGAGATAACGAATATGTGAAATGAAACAGGTGGAGGCATATATTGAGAAAAGAGATAATATCACTAATAATAAGTCCGGATAGTATAAACGAAAAAAAAATTCTATAGTATTGAGAGAATGTTTGCATGAAGGGCATAAATTATGACGAATAATAATAATATTAATAATAATAATAATTGTAATAATAAGCAAAGGAAAAAAAAGGCCAAGAGGGTTAAGGGGAAGGAGCACTCTTGGTGAGAAGAAGAATCATCAATCCAAGTTTGGCCACGGTAGGAACAGCGTCTGAACGTGTTCATTTTGGATACAAAGTTCCAGTTTAGTCGATCTTATTGCAACAGCTTCAGCTATGTGTAGAAGACGTAAGCAGTCTTACTATCTCCTGTTTAACACAGACCACTTTGTACTAGCCACTCACCTGACACCTTTTATAACCTTGAACTGACATGTCAATTTTCCTGCCCCCACTCTACAAATCTATTATGATTAATCACCATTGTCTCCCGTTTTACATTATTTTGTAATCGAATTCAGCCTAGCACGTTTGTCACACAAATACGACTATTTATTTTGACACCCCATAACTAATCTGTTATTCTACGTTAAAAAATGTATCTGCCGCATAACTGGCCTTATTGTAACGACAACAAATATTATATTTTATAATTGTAAGAACCTGAAGAGAAATTATTGAAAAGAATATTCTTCGTTCAGATTGACTTTTAATTCATAATATGGGAATTTTCCACACTATCAAGTCATATATATATATATATATATATATATAGGTCGTAACACTTTAGACACCTTGTAAATCGCAACGCCTTATTTTACTATGACGCTCTGACAATATACTTGCTAATGGACAAAGTTTGTTAAAATTGTACACTTTTCTATTTTTATTTTATTAAAGAACTCAGGTTGTACGCAGCTGATGAGAACCAACGAAATAAAATGGATCCAGATTATTCTGCACCAATGTTTCTTCTTTCTGTGTTCAAATTTAAGCCATATCACCGAAACATCCCTAACCATTGGTTCTTTGTCTCCTGAGAACAGTAACCAGGCAGTGTACACCCTCCTGTGTGACTGGATGAATTTAATCATAAAGGGCTTCGTGGATTTGGTTTGACCACCTTTAAATCTTCTCCAACCTATGCTTATGTCAACCTACACTGTTGAACAGGGAAGACTGTGTTTGCGTATAGGTAACAATTGTTCTAGTCATGCTAGTCCACGACGCTTCAAAAACTTATCGGTTTATTTTCCCCCCTGGCCTAATAGCTTACCCCTTCGCTGAATATTTGCGACTCTACGCGTCGTCATCATCGAACAAAGCACAAAATGGCATTCAAACCTCTCTCTATCGACTTTGAAAAGGCCTTCGACAGTACTAACCGAGAAGTAATTTGAACACTACTTCAGAACTATGCATTGCACTGCCCCAAGACTTTATCAACTTCATTCAGCACTGGCTATATGACAGTGTCACGTGTCAGGCGATCCACAACGGAAAACCCAGAGAGGCGTTCGAAGTAAACACAGAAGTGAGACAAGCTGGTTGCTTATTATTCTCGTTGATATTCTTAATTGTGGTGGACTAGATTATGCGGAAGACTGTACGTTGGGAGTGACAAGACAGGAATTCGCTGCATTGACCAATAAGAAGGCTCTAGAAGATCTGCATTTCTCGTGTGGATGATTTATGTTTAATGTCATACAAACTCGAACACTTACAGGCGAAAACCAACAGACTGGTTAAAGAAGCAGGCAGTAAAGACAGGACTTCAGGTGAACATAAAGAAGACAGAGCTGATGAAGATAACCAACCACTCACCAACAGCAACAACAATAACCAGTACCAATCGTCATCAACGGGAGAGATTTGACAGAGGCTACTTCCTTCACTTATCCAGACAGGAATCACGGTTCCAACCATATGCAGTCACCATGGGTGAAAATGTCAACGCCAGCCAGAATCAGAAAGGCGAGATACACCTTTATCAACCTGAAACCAGTTTGAAAATCTTCCACTCTGCACTTCACCTCAGCCAGCATAAAGAAAGCGATTTGAATTTTCAATACAAATGTAAAGTCACTCAGTTAGTTCTTCTATACGGGTCAGACACTTGGCCAGCGTGTCACGACAGCATTTACAACAAGTTACAGACTTTTGCCAACAGATGCCCACTTCAATGGCGCCATACTGTAGATCGAATGGCCAACCGGCTGGTTAGAAATAGTTATCAACAAGAAGATCTTGCCGTGAACAAACAGGCAAGAGTGTCGATTGCCCAACAAATATGTAGGAGAGAACGGAGATGGTTTGATCGGACATGCATTGAGGAGGCCGTCGAATGACATCGCACTCAATACAGGCCATGGCTCGAGTGAAATGTGAATGGAAAGCGACGAGTGGGTCATTTGTGTAAGTGATGGTGACATGGAGGAGATCGTGTGAGTTAAATGAGGGCATGACAGATTTCGGTCAGTCGTGGAGCTAGCAAGATGAAGAGGGCAGCAAAGAGTAGAACAAAGTGGATACGTGTTGTTGAAGCCATATATAACACGTGGAAACCAAAAGAATAATAATAATGCGCTCAATATTAGAGATCATAATACACCAATCAACACGGAGGATTGAACACGAACCTGTGCGGTCAAAAACAGTTAGCCTCTTCACATTTTTCACTTTCAGTAGACACATCCTACAGCCATAAAGAAAGACGGAGATGTGTGAGTCCCAGTGCACACCTCCTTTCATCAATATTGTGATACGCAGTATACATTAGAGATGGCTAAAGTTGATAAATCCCACACGATCCTTTTTTATTTAGCGATGCTGGGATTTCGTCAGCAATCATTCGATTAGAGTCAACGCAACTTCCCAAATAGGTGAAGTGGTCAACACGCTCTACCACTTCCCCCCTTACCTTTAAGCTAAGCATCGATGTAGTCCAGTCCTGCAGCATCGTCTCACAACTGACGACAAAGACAGTAATATGCCACTGTGTGGACAGCAGGGTGGTAATAACCGCCCAAAACACTTCCAAAAGCATATAAGGCAATTAAAAGCTTATGTAAGTCTACAATAAATACTTCAAAGTGGCTCATTTTCCATACCTATCACATGAAAGGTAGAGTTTTTAATATCAATTGGTCATTGACTGTACATTGAGCAGACCTAAGCCGAAAAGTCTTCGTGTAACGAGTGCTATCAGTTTGAATGCTTCCGATCAATTAGTCAAGTGAATCAAATCGAAACACGTTTAACTGACCACTGTCAAGTGACAAAAACGAGTAGTATCACTCAGATTCTTATACACCATTTATTGAAAAAAAATTCTCAATTCAAGTTTATGAATCATGGTGGCAACAGAATTGGCTCAATGTTTTTTTAGGTGTTTTGGTTTGCAAGAATTTCTTAGGTCTCAGATTTGATAACGAGCCGACATCAGTTAGAGTACCACTGAGAACCAGTGAGTACTGGATAGCCGTTTCACCCTAAATTGTGTTGATTCAAGAACATGAATCCAAGACAACAAAGGGGATTGAACTCTAAACCTTTAGTTTATGAGACGATCCCATTGACTATTCAGCCACTGGCTTAGGATCTTATATAGCCTAATCCTTTATATGTAGGTTTCGAGTGAAGCATACGGCTTCCACAGCACCTCTCTGTTTTGTTCTACTTTCTGCTGTCCTCTGAAATTGATACCATGTTTAGCCAAAAGCTTTCACCTCCTCCTCACACAATCTCCTTTATGTCACCCTCACATTCACATCCAACTCGTCGTTGCCCATTTGGGCTGTAC